CATAAGTTCACTTAAAATAATTGCATTAGATTACATCGAAGCAAGTAAAATTCGTACAACAAAATAGGCTTTGGGTGGTTGCTACAATAATGGATCGAGGGTTTTCAATGCTGTAAAAGTTGGTGTTTTTTAAGAGAACATAGACCACCTATATTGAAAAAAGGAATGTTACAAACACCTAACTTTAGAACTGTGCTGTTAGAAACGTCGTAGAGGACTACGCCATTAAAATATAATAAGGATAAGAAAAGTTTATCAGACGTTGACGTTTTTTATGCATTTATATCAAAAGTCACCGTTATTTTTTAATTATTGTAAAACAGGCGCCTAAATGTAGGCAATACACTTTAGTATAGTTGACTGTAGCGGCAGAACAGCCAAAGTCGAGTTAAGAAAAAAAAGTACTAATATTGTGGACAAAATTTTTTTTTATTGAACGCAAAACTGATTTAAATTTTTATGAGATTTTCTTGCCCGTAAATAAATTTTTACTGGAAAGTGAGAATACTTTTAAATCCAACTGTTGACTAACAAAAATGGGCGAAAGAGAAAATTAGATATATCTCAATACTTACTTGTGCTTACCTTTTATAAAACAAGACAGATTCAAAACTCAAGGTCAATTCATTTAAATATGCTCTTAAGTATCCTTCTGCTATAAATCGGAGTAAAGAGTACATTCGGTGATCTAACTTAAAGCCAACCTAAGTGTGAAATGCGGCGTTTTTTGCCGATTTCGTCCTTCAAACGGTCCAATAACACTATGTAATAGTCGCTGTTTATGATCCTTCCTGTTGAAAGTAGTCAATAAAAATTATTTCATGCGCATCCCAGAATACAAGATGCATGTACATTTTGAATCTAGCGCCCCCTGTTGACGCCATCTATGTGTCGACTAGTGCGTTAGAATCTGCAGTTATTACAGATTTTTCCAGTGAGAATTTCATGACATTTCATCGATTGGAAGTGAAGTTATTGCATTTTAAGTGTCAGTATGTTTGTGATTAATTCAGTTCGCTAAAAACGATCACATCTGCTCCTACAAACCATGAACTATTTTTTCGGATTTGTCGTATTTAGCCTCATGTTCTTTGATTTGGAACTATACGAAGTAACTTAGCTTCCTTCTGATAAAAGCATTGTGGATTTTTCTTCAATCAGATCATCGGGGCGCAAACACAATGACCGGATTCAGAGATACTGTCAATATACTCGGTGAAGTGCAGAAGACAACATTGGATACCAAGTAGATGAAAAGTAATCCGCTAAGGGACCTTAAAACATGTCAGATATACTGCCTTTGCGTAGAACTTGAACTTTAGGGAACCCCCTTTAATTTGCAATCATTTAAGATGCGAAATAATTAATAGTAAGTTGTGGTTGACATCCGTTCCAAAAAGGGTTTAAACTACGACATAAAAGTACTTAACCAAATAAAAACCGCTTCGGACCCAGTACCGCGGATCCGATTGTTGTGGGAAATTATTAGTAGAGAGCTCGAACATATCGTTTAGTCTCGTAGTTGTAGATCAATCTGGTTGAAAAAAGCTATTTTTGATACAATTTTCTATATATCATTTTAGAAAAGAGTTCTACAAGAAATTTTTCAGAAAGCTCCACTATGGCCTTATTTTAACCCTTTGACAGGCTTGCCACTAAGCACGCTAAAAAAAATTTACTTAAGCCGGTGTCATGAAACTCAACTTCTGCACCGGAAATACCAAGCTGTATTCATATATAGCGGATTTATTTATTTTACTATTTTTGTATTAATTTCTTCTTCTACTACTTCCATCAATTCGGATGAGACATCACTCAATAGCGTGTGTGAGCGGCCCAACCCAATTACTTTGATTTTAATGCAACAGTTTACGCATAAATTTGCAAAACTCGTACACAAACTTACCTGGAATTTTTCGAAATCTAGGAAAGGAGTTAACCACAAAGCGTACTTGCACGGTTAAGTACCGGAACGTGTGGCGTATACTTTACGGCCACACTGCGACATGAAAGTGCGCATACAAACAACATATTTTATTCAACTATATTGATTTTAATGGACATGTTTTTGCAAATATTTATAAACATATATACATGTAGTAAATATGTTTATGTATATTTATTTAGAAATAAGTATAAGTTAGTATATCGAAACTTCTCATATTTGATAAGTGTGCGTGTCGGCGAGCTTCAAGCCAAGTACTTGTACTTTTCATTAGTAAGCACTTTATATGCAGAGCGTTGTTCTCTTATTATTTCTTAATAAAATGCTTTATTTATGCAATTTAAATATAAACTTGGTGTGCGCACATACACATACATACATACATATGCACTATTATTTACTTTGAGTAAAGCATTGTGGTTGGCGTTTGGAGTATTGAAGCAAGTGGCTTACAAATAGTATTACTCATCTAGTTTCAAGAAAGCCTAGGCTAACACTTGTACATACAGCTATTAATAATTATATATTATATAGACGTATACTATACATATCTACATGTGCAACTGCTAAGTGCCACTCCACAACTAATGGTATGCACGACACGTCGCTTTGCTTCAGTGCTGCTGTTGCCGCCATTATTGTTGCTGATGATTATTACACGTACGCTGCCAGTTGCTGGTGTTGCATGTGGCAGATGCTATCTGCTAGCACATACATATACCGTCAATAACGTCCATGCTTTAAATGTTCAACAATACCATTTGCCTTTTAATAAGCGTGAATAAATGAGCAAATAACTAAGTGTCTGAAGCACTGAGTGACAATTCAACGTTGCGTTTGTATTTGAATGCGTGTATATGTATATATGTACAGTCATGTAACTGCTTGACATTCGTCATGTGCAAGGGATTTTCGCAAACAGCACAATCTTGGTCAACGCGTTTTAAAGTTTTTATTTTATTAAATTCACTTTAATTGTGCCGGTGACATTTTACGTGCTTTAGTGTGGCAGGGTGTGAGTAAGGTATGGAGTAGAAAATAATGTGTGCTCGATAAAGCTGCGTACGTGATTAAGTGGTGAATAAATGGGTGACTTTTTGCGAATTACAAAAAAATCATATATTCATGACATAGTACATACATACATATGCATATGAATACGTATAAAATATTTACTATGTATGGTATGTATATAACTACATATGTATGTACATCGGTGATCGGGATCCCGAAAATACGGTTCTATTTCTATCTTTTTCGACTGCTAATGATTTTAAAAAAATTTGCTATCTACAAAAATATTAAAGCTTCGACTTTAAAGTATTTTAAAATTTTAATTGTCTCGGGATCGGCATTTCGGGATCCCGACAATAAGGGATTATTACTAAATTTTTTCGACGCCAATTTGTTTAATGTTTAAATTGTTACATAAAAATATCTAATAGCTCTGGATTAGTTTTCGGTATCCCGAAAAGTTTGGGATTAATTTTTTTTTCATTCCTTCAACTGTCAATTAAAAAAAATGCTTTAAGATGTTACTTAAAAATCATTAGATATCTTGGGATTAGTATTTCGGGATCCCGAAAATACGGAAATATTACTAATATTTTTAAATAAATTATTAATAATCTTTCATCGACTGCCAATTGTTTTAAAATTAAATTGTCTCTTAAAAATATGCATCTGATATCTTAGGATTGGTATTTCAGGATTCCGAAAATACGGAAGTATTACTAATATTTTTTCTGCTGCCAATTGTTTAAGATTTATATTGTTATCTAAAAATATCTAATAGTTCGGTATTGCTATTTCGGGATTATTAATACATTTTCTTCGGAAACCAGTTCTTTTAAAGTGTAAATTTTTATTTAAAAAATATGTGATGTCTTGGGATTGGTATTTCGGTAACCCGAAAATACGGACACACTATTAATATTTTTCCGAGAGCGAATTGTTTTAAAATTTAAATTTATACATATCTAAAACATCCGAACTAGCGGTATATTATTTCGATATCACAAAATACAGGTTTATTAATTTTCATCAACTGCCAATTGTTTTAAAATTATATATCCACTAAAAAATTTCTGATAGCTCTCTTTAGATTTTCGAGATCCCGAAAAATTCAGGATTATTACTACAATTCGTCAGCTGTCAATTATTTTAAAATTTAAATTGCTACTTAAAAAGAGTCTAATCTCTTGGGATTGGTATATCGGGATCCCGAAATTTAATAAAAATTTTCAACACCTGGTAACCTTTAATTTTTTATACTTTTGTATACTATCGGAATTTTGTTATGAAATGTCCAATAAATATTTTAAAAAGTCAGCCTGACACAGCCCGCCTCATAATTTCCTCCCTCCCTCTATCTCCATGCATATGTACATATGTATATCTCTTTCTCTCTCTTTTTAAAAAACATAAATGAAACATTAATTTGAAATTAACATTGAAAATGTTTTTCTKGTCATTTATTTATTTATTAATATTAAAGAAACGCTTAGGAGCCACTTTAGAGGAAGACACATGGAATGCTTAGCTTAATATAAAGTATTTTTTATAAATGCATTAAGAGACTTATTTTTAAGTACACACATACAAACTACTATCAATATACAATTGTAGGTCAGCATCTTTTATTTATTTTTATATTTTGAATACATTTATGTTTTATAATTTATATATCAAATATTTAAATTAATTGTTTTAAAACCTGTCTCTTATACACATCTAGATGTGTATAAGAGACAGTTTCAACATTTTATTATTTTATACTTTTAAAATTATTTTTTATAAATTTTTAACTTAAATACCCAAATTTTTACAATTACTTTATAAAATTCATTTTTATTTTTGATTTTATTACATTTTTTCTTCAGAATTTCCTATGATTGTTTATTGGCTGAACATTGTTATTATCTTTTTAAAGAAACATTTTGTTTATGATTCTTCAGGTGTTCTTTATTTTGAATTCTTTTGATTGTTATCCTATATTTATGGTTTAATTAATTTTATTTTTATATATATTTAATAATTTTGTTTCTTATTTAAATTTCATAAAATATCACTTCTTTAATTTACAGTAAATTTTATTAATTTTGATTTTTCAATATTAACTGCGCTGTGGAGAGAGTCTAGTGTTTAAAACAGTTCACTTTTTATGATTTTATATTCTCAAATAAAATAAAATGAATAATAATAATAAATTGATTAGTTAAAATAATTTTTTTCATAATGTCAAAAATTATTTTTACACAAGTTTAATGTGTTTGCAAGTCTTGATTGTTCCAATACATAAATAATTTTCAAACCCCGAAATTTCGGAATTCACATTTTTAATACCGAAAGTTCAGTTATTTTTGTGCAAAGAATCGAAAGAATTAAAATCCCGAAAAAATCCCGAAACTACGGGATTCACATTTTTAGTCCCGAAAATTTATTTTTAAAAATAATCGAAAGAACAAAATTCCGACAACTCCAGAATTTTGGGGATTCACATTTTTAGTCTCGAAATTTTATTTTTAAAAATAATCGAAAGAATAAAAATTCCGATAAACCCTGAAATTTCAGGATTCACATTTTTAAGCCCGAAATTTGATTTTTTTTTACAAAAAAGCAAAAGAATAAAAATCCCGAAAAAATCCCGAAACTACTTGATTCACATTTTTAAACCCGAAATGTTATTTTTTACAAAAAAATTAAACAATCTGTTATAGGCTTAAAATTACTTTAATACTATACTAAAGTCGCTTTCCGTATACCTTCTGTAAAAAACTGTAGTGCGCTTTTCGGGTGCAACAGCACAAAATTTATATGAAAATTATCATAGATGTGGTTTGCAATATAGATAAGTTTTCTCGCAGCTCAATCGGTTATACATATAAGATCTACTTACAATATTACTTATTAAAATTTCTTTAAAGAAAGCGCTGCTCAACTCGTTACACATTTTTAACAATTTTTTTTACTTTTGTTACCTTATTAAGTAAACGTATAATATTTTATGTATATATACATACATAACTCATTTTAGAGCACTAAGTGCCCGGCAAGTAGAATACATACATACATATAAAGGWGCTATTAAACTAGTAACTTATGATGTTTAAAACTAATTTGACATATGTATATTTATTATATAATATTATAGATATATGAAAAATAATTGAAATTTTACAAATAAAAAGCTCACTGATTTGCATAAAAGTACAGCTATAAGCAACTTAAGCTAAGCGGAAATACTAATTAAATTATGTGTGGATAACTTAAGTATACATAGCATGGCTTTGAAGCACTAGAATATACGTACGTACATAGCATATGAGAAGGCACTTGAGGATTTGAAATGTATTCTATAAACTATTTAAACATAAATATATAGCAAATAGTATATCAAAAATCTTAAAGAAACCATTGTGGTATGATAAAAAGTAAAATATAGGAATGTTGTGGCAGCAATTACAGCCTCAGCGGCGCATTATATCCTCTATGCTAAAGCCGGTGCGGCGCGTAGGTGGCGGCGCTGCTTGCTGCTGCTGCTGCTGGTGCGGTTGCATAGTCATCGCCGTAGATGCTGGTGATAATGATGGGCGAGTTGCACTGCCAACGCCACTCAACGGTTCCTGAGTATTCAAATTAACTGCATTATTAGGTGGCAATAGGTAGTGACGCTCACTGCTGCTGCTGGCGCTCGTTAATGGCGCTATATCCACCGCCGCTTCTCGGCTCAACAGTGTTGAGGTGTCAGCATGCGCGCTACCAACAGCAATACCAACACCGGCAGCTAGCAACGTTTTAGACTCGCATAAGAGCGGCGCTTGATTTATGCTTGACATGTATGGCTTCCCCGGGAGCAGAGTGTGTGGCGGCGGTGGTGTTGCTTTTAGCGCGGTATGCGTGCGCGTCATATTGAGTGCCATAAGACCGGCGTTTTGTGTGTGCGCGTTGTAGACGCGTTGCGCCTCGGCTATTTGTTCGAGTCCCACAATGCGCTTGCGTATCGGTATGGAACCCAGAAAACTGGGCATTGATTCGAGCGGTGAGTGCAGCGGTTGTTGTAAATTCTTACCCGTATCTAAGAGCGGCGGTAAGGGTGGTGGTGGCGCAGCAGGCGCTATACCGCTTGCTTGCGTCGCCTGTGTTAACACTGGTGGCAATGCAATTGTTGACACTGTCGGTGGTGGTTGTTGTGTTGGTGTGGGTAACGCCGGTGCGCCCACCAATACACCTGGTGGGATTATATTTGCGCCTTTCATTTCGGCGGCGCTTAATAGCAACGCTTTTGGATGGAGATCTCTACGTACATGTAACATCGGTATGTACGGTTCGGGTCCATTGGATGTTGAAGGCGAATGTATGGACTCGCCAGCGCCGGGTAACGCGCGCATCGGATTGTAACGTGCGCTCGGCGAAGACGGCATGAAGGCAGAACCGGTTGGCGGTGCGTTAAAAGTGTGCGGCGAATCGCTAGCATGCATTGCATCATGTAAGTCGCGCGTTTCATGCGTCGGGCGCATAGTGTACATTTCACCGCCTTCGTGATGGCAATGTGTCACACCCTGCCCGGTGGGACGCGGTTCTAGTAAACCAACTTTTGGCATATTTTGCACTGTTTCTTCCTCGTCTTCATCTTCGCCCAACTCCGCCTCGTCCTCCAGCTCGGCCTCATCCAACTCATCGTCCTCGTCTAACTCTTCTTCAGATTCATCAGAAATTTCGGCTGCATCATAGCATGCCTTACGCTTGAGACGCATGCGCGCTGCTGCACGTGCCTCTCCACTGGACTTCTCCGCGTGTCCAGCAGCACCGCCGAGCTCTTGTGTTGGCGTACCGCTGTGTAAGCGGTGTATCGGCGATTGTCGCGGTGAATCCACTTCCAATAGTGTGTCCTCTTCATCACCACTCAAATGTCGGCCTTCATCTTCTTCGCCCACGTCCACATACTCCGAGGGCCCATCACCGACCGCATGTGTGAGCGCATGACGTCGCAGATCGCAATTACGTCGGAACACTTTGCCACAGGAAGAACACTCGTACGGCTTGTGATCGGTGTGCGTGAGCAGGTGCGTTTTCAAATTGGAGCGCTGATTGAAGCTGCGGCTGCAGACGGGGCACTTGTGCGGCGACTCTTCCATGTGTAGGATCTTGTGGACGGCAAGTGTGCGCGATTGGCAGAAACCCTTGCCACATTCGGTACATTTGAATGGCTTCTCCTTGGAGTGTATGTACCTGTGTAAATGAAAGCGAAAAAATTAAGTTGTTCATTAGTTTGCCTAGAGCGTGATTAATAATAACATAAAGTGGCAAGTGTAAAGAATGCAGCAAACGTGTAAAATAGTTGGTAACTAATGGGAATGCGCGCAGTTTTTAATGATTGTGTTGAATTTTGTTTGTGTTCTTAGCGACGGTGCTCATTAAACTCGCGTTCGTGTGCTTGGCGGCGGCATTGTAAAGGCGCTTACACTAATTACAAGGGGTGAGTCTACAAATGAAGCTCAAAAGCGCAGTAGATTAATAGATTCAGTACTTTATACTAATTATATAAGGTGTTGTTAGCTTGGTCTCACTGGAAACGAGCCTATTTTTTTGAAAACTCGTACTCCATTTGACAGGTTCTAGAGTTCAATTGCTCCGTTAAAGTTCTGGTGTTTTCTCTTCAGAGACTTTGGCAGTTCTGTTTTTATTATGTAACACGAACTCATCTTCACCATCTTCCATGGCGATACTACTTTATATACTTCCAGTGTCAGGTAACAAACTTTGAACTAGAGGTTTTAAGGCTATTGACTTTTATTCGCTGAGCACTCATATAGAAAATGCAGCTGTATTTTTGATAGACCCAGATTTGTCAGAGTGTTTTGCCTCTAGTAAAAAAGTCATCATCATATAGAAATCATTTGCTTATACCAGCATTGACTTATTCAAACGTTAACTTTTTTATTGACTTTGGCATATCAGTTTTGGTATCTTGAAGGCAAAGACCTGGTCTCATCAGCAAATGCAGACTGTAGCATTTATAAAATATGTCCCAACTTTAGCTTTCCTCAAAACACCTCAGTCTGTTGTAAATCGTTAATAAATATAGTTTCTCTCCTTAAGTGTTGATTCTGAGTTTTATGAACTGTCGATGTTTTCATGGAACCAAACTGTTGCCTCTCCGAAAGTTAAACTATTATTCATGAAAGTCAGATCCGTAAAATAGTTTTAATGGAAAATAGGTTAGATCTTACCAATAAAGCTCTTACGGTTCCTCTCTGTGAGGTTTATAGAATCTGTCAGAATCATTTGCCTGCAGGAATAAAGTTTGCTCATTGTTGTATTGATTTATTCGGGAGTTTCAAGTGGTACCTTGAACTGTCGAATCTTCGATAGTATAACTATTATTCATGTCAGTCGAGTTGATCAGCATTACATTATATTTCAGAATGTGTGTGTGAAAGCGGGTTAGACCTTATCAAGAAAGCTCTTACGGTTTCTGTCTCTCAGATTAATAGAATCTGTCAGCATCGCTTGTCTGTAGTGAAAAGTTTTGCTTCACTTACTCATTGCTTAATTGATTTATTCAGGAGTTTCAAGTGGTATCTTAAAGGTAAAGACCTTGTCTCATCAACCAGTGAAGATTGTAACATTCATAAAATATGACCTAGCTTTAGATCCCATCGAAATACCTCAGTCTGGTATAAGGCATAAATAAAATTTATCATGATGTTTGAGTGTTGATCCTGAGATCTGGGGCCTGTCGATGTTTTTATGCAAATAAATTGTGTTCACTTCGAAAGTATAACTATTATTCATGTGAGTTAAGTTGAACAGAGTTATTTTCATCAGATTCTTGAGATATTTTCAATGTGGGTTAAATCTCACGTTCCTCTTTTTCGGACATTTAGTGTGACTTTTGAAGTTCAGAAGATTTTTTCTTCTGAATGTATTATCTCATTTTAAAACGTTAGATTGTGTCGTTACTGTTGTTTAAGTCTCTAATAGAACCTAGCTTTATAAATCATCAATACAAAGCTTTTAAGTTCCAGATTGGAATAGTTTCTGTGTTTGAAAGTAGTATTTGGAACTTTATCGTGGGGATTTTTTTATTTTAAGCTTTGTGCTTTGAGTTCGAGCTAATACGGTTCCTTCTGTCAGGCATATAGTAGGACTTATAATGTTCAGCCAAACCAGAAACTATTTTCTTTTAAAGTCTCACTTTAATATCTTAGCTTGTGTCGTTCTTGTTGTTTAAGTCTTTTAGAGAGATTATCGTTATAAAACTTTTAAGTTCCACATTGTAATAGATAGCGTGAAAAGCTTTAAAAAGTAGTCTTTGGTGCTTTTTGGTGGGGATTTGTTCATTCGTAAGTTTTTGTTTCGAGTTTTCAGATTCATACAGTCTAAGTTAACTGGTGGTTAAGAAAATCTAGCAGCTCCATAAGTGGTATACAGAACATTCCTAACTCACAACCAACCAAAATCACTTATACAAAAATCGACTTTGTGAACTATTTTGCAAATGGGCCTCAAACGTCATAATCACTTATTTCTCAGAAAATATGTGTAGTTCAAGCAACGCAAAAAACATACAGGTACAGAATGATTAATGTTATTTCTGCAGATGACGCGCGGTCGTTCTATAAACTAGCAGCTTCGCTTACTACACAAATAGAATTACTTCGACGGCCGGCAGCAATGGCCATGGCTTAAGTCAACACATCAGCCAGCAACGCGGCAAATCGCCACACATCAGCCACCTTAAAATGGCTGGCCTGTCGCCGTGATTGCTTGCCAAATAGCCCAAGCAGCAACCGACAGTCTCTAATGGTAGGGCATAAAGAAACGAAAATAATTATGCTCGAACTGAAAACAGGTTCTGCGCACGGCAAACACAACATGTCGCACTGTAGCGCTCGCGCGCAGGCTGATTTCTGGTTGTGCGCCCGTAAGATAAATGTCGCTGTTGGCTGGTCATTTTTCAATCCTTTTTGTGCATTTCTTACGCCGCTTAAACGCACAGGCTCGTGGTCTGGCAGTGACTGCGCGCAGGTTGCGGTTGCGTAGGACTTGCGGTTTGCCCTTGCCGTGGCCGTTGCACATCGCGCGCTAACCGCATTGCGCTTAATGAGCGTTCAGGGTTTTGTTATTTCTTATTTACACGTGTCGTTCTTTGTATGCGAAAGTAATTTGATTCCGACGTCGCTTGCAAGATAATCACGTACAGAGCGCGTTTTTTTCGCGGTTGACAGTTTATGATGGATGTGCGAGGCAAAACGTAATAATAATAACACAGTGTAAGGAAAGGTGCGTATAAAAAAAAACGTGCTCAACTCACCTGTGATCGCGCAAATGATCCTGCCGGCGGAATGCCTTGCCACATATGTCACACGAATACGGTCGCTCGTCGGTATGCGTGCGCTCGTGTATGAGCAGATTGTAAGACTTGGTGAACTGACGATTACAAAATTTGCAAATAAACTGCTTCTTCGGACGTGATGCGCGTCCCGGTGCGCGCAATAAACGGCGATCCAAACCAGCGTGCATAGTTGGTGGCAGCCCAGCGGGAAACAACGCTGCCGTTGCGGCTGCCGATGGAAAGGCGAATGTGCCGGCGCCAGTTGGCGATGGGCCCGGTCCGCCCAAATACGGTGGTGGTGGATACATAACAGCAGTAGGCACACCCGGTGGTGGACCCTGCCCAGGTGGTCGTTGCATCAACATTGCCGCCGCGGCAGCCTCGCGCAGCGCCAACTCTTTACGTTTATCCGCCATCATAGAGATGATCTCGAAATTTGTATTACTGCCATGACGTTTGCTTGCCTCCTTGGCCACCTCCGCGTCCAGCATGCCACCATAAATGGCGGCGGCGCCTGGCGCGCGCATTGCATTACGTGATGGCAGCACTGGCACGAAGGCGGAATGTGCCGCTTGCGCATTTGCCGCGCCACCGCCAGCGCCCATCAAACCAGCCGCCACCAAATGATGTTGGTAAGCGAGTTGTGTCTCATAAGCAGCTGCCGCAGCAGCGGCGGCAGCAGCGCCGCCCGGCACACGTCCGCTAGAAGCGCTACGTTGCTCCGACGCGCCGCCAGCGCCAGGCGCTTGCAAGAATTGCTCCAGGCGGCTCGGGCGCGTCATAGTCATGGCACCGCCGCCAGGGCGGTCCTCTAGCATTGTATTCTCGGTAGGCATTTTTCAGTTAGCACTTGACGTTGACGCGTATTGGCGCTCACCGTCGCGTCATTGACATGGCCAAGTTAGTACTGTAATGGTAAGAAGCAAAATATAAACATTAGTATTTCTTGTGGAATTTTGGAAAAGTATTTAACTCTGATAGTGGTAAGCATTCAACGCGTCTCCAAATATATACAAACACACATATATATGTATATATATATATATTACTTTATTGACCCTGCGGTGCTAAAATAGACGCTCTAATATTTATCTAAATGATGGCGCAATAAACTGCTGATTGTTATTTTCATTATCTGCAGGCAGAAACGACTAAAATATTTCCTTTCCACAGCAGCGATAAGCTGGCTTTTATGACTTTGATAAACACACTAGACACTTAGCAAAAGTATACTAACTATATGCAGTAGTCGGCTGAATTTCGACAGCGCAATATGCAACACCAGTTGCCTACCAACAGTCAAGTAAGCTGGTGTGCGTGTTGGAGTAGTAGCTGACAAGTAGCAGCGACAGAGGCGCGGCAGTCATAAAATAATTTGCAATTCTTGCTGTCTATGCCAAAGATTAGTTGAGTGCTTGTGAGTGCTCTGCAATTTGCCATATTTCTGAAAGTTTACAACGACAGTTTCTCACCGAAATATCTGTTTTTCAATTTAATTTTTTATGGCATCAGTTTTTGTAAACAAAATTCGCTTCTCAAGGTTCTCTCTAGAAGCTCACGACACCCGCACTTAGGCCCCCATTATCAGACATACAACTTCCCCATTCATTGACCTCAATCAAACCACATCACAGTTTGAGCACAGCTAATCAAACGCAGATTGTTGCCGCACAGCAGCCGCAAAACTAACACGACAGCTTTATAATCAGCTGCTGATTGTGTCCATCATAAGCATCTCTACTACAACTTTCTCTCTTTCTCAGTCGCAAAAGCTTTAATATTCATTATTTCTTATCCACTTTGATTCTCACTATCCATAATGTTGTTTAATAATGCACTCGATTGTTATCATATTACTACCAGCCGCGTTTTCAGCGCACATATTGATTCTTATATGAAGAAGATTGAAGATTCCTTACTTAAGCGCAGACCCTGTTGGAAATTCCTAACATATTTTCATATTTTATTAACTGAGAAGTCCGTGAATTTTCATTTGATATGATTTTATGCACTTATAAATGTCAAGGTCAACAAACTTTTGACAGAACTGCTGTCTTCTTAATCACTTTGAGGGCTGTGGTCGTTTATCCTCTCGAAATAACTCTACCATTGTTTTTTTTTTTTACTCGACAATCCCATCAAAGTAGTCGTTCTTAAGTTCAGACCACAATATAAAACAAACGGACTCATATTATTTGGCCGTGTCCGTTCATTCCATTCCTATGTAATTTCAAAGTTCGAATGCTTAACAGTTTATTGTATGAAATCACCGAAAAATGCCTGAAATTGAGAAAAAAAGAAAGTGCTGTTTCCTCAAGACAAATAACTGTGACAAAAATCTGTGGAAGCGATCACAAAAATCCTTGAATTAGGCTTCGAATTGCTTCCGCATCCAGCATATTTTTCAGATCTAACCCGCCGCGAATATTTCTTGTTCTCAGATCTCAAAAAATGCCTGCAGGGAAGAAAATTTCGACGAATAAAGCCATGATCGCCGAAGCTGAGGCCTTTTTTTTGAAGCAGAGGACAAATCGTAGTACAAAAATGGTATCGAAAGATTGGAAGATCGTTATAATCAATGTATGACCGCTGAAGGGAACTACCTCGAATAAATCAAAAAATGTATTCCAATTACCCGTGTTAAGAAAAAAGTCATTCCTGAGTAAAAAAGTTATTACAAATCGGATACTTTCCAAATTTTTACTACCCGTTTATATTGTCAAACCTCACGCTTTGAATTTGTAGGACAGACTCTCTCTCTAGCTCTCTCTAGCTCTCCTGAATCCTTCCTTTTCGAATAATTTTGATGCAACAACCTATAGGAGGGTATAAACTCGGGTATCTTTCTGTTACGCAGACACAAGTGTAGTGCAAAAAGGGGCTCTCAAATTCTCTGATTTCGATTAAGTATGAACTTGCTAAAGTATGACAATTCGATTGGCTGCGATTTTGAAAGCTCCATAGCGCATAAAGATGTAAAGAAAATGTATTATATTTTCTAAAACCGTTGACGAGAATTTTTTTCTTAAAACCCATGGCTTGTTCTCATTTCAGTAAGACTGAAAGTCACGCTACAACATCCCTACTTGGACATATTCGCAACTGTAAATGCATTTGCATCTCTGCAACCGCAAAGAAAATAAGCTGAAATCTGTAAATAAACAAACAGCACAATTGACCGTCCGTCCTAAGGCTAAATAGTCAGACAGACAAACGGACAGTGACATAGTGAATGCAGATAGGGTGTACGTAAAACAAATAGCCATTTATTTCAATGAAACTCTCACGCATCGCAGATAGCCACGTATGTGAAATTAAAGTAATCAAATGAGACCCTTCTGAGGAGAAAAATAGAAACGAGACTTGCGGGCATATAACAAAAATTATTTAATGAAACCTTGTTGGCGGTTTAAATAAGATCTTTACAAAGTTTTCAACGATAATTGAATGAGGATTGTCTTACCTACTTGTTACAATAGGCTTTTGTAGAAGCTCAAACTCATAAAGGGACAAGTTTAAGATGCTGATGAAGCTAATAGAGTCATGATGGAAAATGATGTGAGTGAGAAGTTTTTAAAGCTGTCAAGGATATTTTTTGGAATTTATATTTAGATATTTATCAAAATATTTAACATCATGCCAAAGCTTTCTGTCAAATAAAGTTTTGAATAAGCGAATTTATCAGTAATGACACTTGATGTTGTCTTACTGTCACTTGTAGATAATAGTTCTCTGAAGCATTAAATGTCTAAAATTATTAGCGTAGAAAAATTGTGTCTACCATTTCTGAATGAAATATTTACTACTCCCCCATATTTCCTAACCTCGGAGAAAATTATAAAAAAAAATTTCATAGTCTCATTGACAAGTGACAGGTCTATTCTTATGTTCCTAGAGCTATTTTGGTGAGATAACCACAAATTGGAGTATTATATGTAGTCTTGTCTAAACAACCAAACCCTTAGCTGGTCATTAATCTCTAATAATTAAACCTTAACTAGTTATTAATCATAAACGACAGCATCGAATTGCTACAACAGCTGATAAATTCCTGCAACAACTGATAAATTAAACAAATTGGTAGCTGGCCAGGACTAGTGACTCGTGACAAGTGACAGTACTTCATTTATGATTTATTACATGCTTTCAGATTTTAGTTACATTTTTAAGGTTATAATTATGGGTGTTACTAACTTTTAAGTTATAACTTCTGGTTGCACTAATTCATTCTATAATTTATGGAAATTTTTTTTCGCTAAGCAAGAAATTTGAAAAGTAAATGTGCCGCAATTTCGTCGAATTATTAACCTCCTCCACACCAACAGCCTCAGATGAAAATGTGAGCTCATCGCGGCTGTCCAAATGATGCCCGATGGCTGCTGGTTGCTGGCTAATGGCCGCCAACACTGCCACAGTCTAAGCCAGCGCACCAATATTGGACCTTTATTTGTTGGTTTTTTGTTGTTGTTGCGCTTTTTTTCTCTTTTTTGTTGTAGTCTTCAAAACACAAATGCCAGCGGCTGGTGAACACTGGAATGTTTTTAAATGCATGCGTGTATATATATATGTATACAATATATTTTTATTCACATCGGTGTGTAAATGCCGTAAGTGCCGCAACTGAAGGTTGCAACAAAGCGGCTAAGACAGAAAGCAAGCAAATAAAAAAAACTGTAAGTTGATGCTGAGGAAGAAAAAAATATAAATATGTTTATACGCTGTATGTATGTCTGTAAGTATATGCGCATGCTTAGCACACAGCATCGGTCGAAAATGCCTTCAGGCCAACAAACAAAATAAAGAAGTGGAAAAAAGTGAAGAATAAAATCAAATAAAACCCCTTTGAGGCAGCAAATACCATTGATGACGGCGTTGTTTTGCTGGCTTAAGTAAACACCACACACACACACATGCCTACATACACCCAGCCTTTCTTAACGGGCTAAGCAAATAAACGACCACAGAATGCTTGGCTTGATGGTAGATAATAGTTCTTTTTTCAGCCTCTTTCAGTACGAGGAAAATAATGTGGTGACCAAAAAGAATTTAAATAAATAAGTGCGGCTTGTGCGGCGTGGCTTATCAGATGGAAGCTTAAATGTGACAACGTCGACAAAAAGCCACTTTAATTACTTTTGAAAGAAAAAAATTTAAAAAAAAAATGTATAAAACTAGAATATGTGTATGTGATTAATATCTTGTGGGTATTTTGTTCGTTTAGGTAATAAGGCTTAGCTCGGCCTGTTGGTATGTATGTATGTAAATATGTCAGTATGTCACATTATTTGGTATAAATCATACACTTCTTGAAATATTTTTGTCAACGGAGGTTTTGTTAGTAAGTTACCTAAGTACCCACAAATAAAACTTTGCTTGATTCGCACTCCGTCATTAAAGACTCTGCTAGTTTGAAAGTAGAAAGCTATACAGCTAGATTTAATGCATTCAATTATATGGATAATTCATTAAAATGATAAAATCGCTTGAAATTTCGTCTCTGCTTGATTATACCAGTTGCAGTTATAGCTGTTTTTTGTTCAATTTCCCAATCCTAAAGTTTGGGAGTTAAAAGCATATAGGATTAAACTTATTGGAAGCTTGCAAAATTAATCTTTCGCCAAGAAAACCGGCAACGAGAATGGGAAAAATGCATAAAGCAACTAAACCTATATCGTTGCTTAAAAATTTTGCCATCAGCTTTTCCTCAGTTGATTAAAAAGCATTGAGATTGACTATACCAGTTTATACCAGTTGCATTTATAGCTGTATTTTTGTTCTCATCGCCAATCGTAAAGTTTGGCGACTTAAACAGAGCTAATAATAAACTTATTTGATTCTTGCATAGTTACTCATAAGCCAAGAAAACCGAAAATGAGAATGAGAAGAACGCGTAAAACAACTATAGGC